AGATATTCGTCCCTCAGAAAGTTGACGCAAGTACCCTATCAGAAACAGTGGTACATCCTGACATAACAGAGCTGATAACATACATAAGTTGATTGTATATCGTGTTCATCAGGGCATTATCAGGGTGAGCTCATGATATACTTTTATGTGTAAATACCGTACAGTGCCGCTGAATTTGCGTTACAGAGGTTTGTTGTACATGTACAAGTGACCTTCGAACTGAAGGTGTAGATAATCGGAGCATTTCCGGTGGACAGGGGCATTAGTACGGATGAGTCTCCGGTAAGCATATCCTTAGCAAGGGCTAACAAAGTGTGCGTGGACGCTTAGCTCGGGCCAGAGTCCCTCTCGATCGGGCATTCAGACCCTTATTACTTTTCAGAAAGCCAAAATACAAAATGGACGTTACCAATTCATTATAAATACAGATAAATGTAATTGATACCCAGGACCAAGAATTTGTTTATGAAGTGGTTTGTGAGCGAGCCATTTACCTTTTTGGGTATTTCAACAACACTTTTTAGTGATGTTTTCAGCAATGTATTATGGTGTGCTCCCTTTGAAGTGCTGGATTATGAGATTTTTCATGGACATTACGAGGAATCAAAAACTGTGATCCGTATATGACAAGAGCAGCATAGATATTCTCAATCCCGTCATCATACAATAATTGGTGTACTTACTGTCATCGTAGCAATTTGCCACACTCGAGTTGTTATCCAGGCGACGTGGAAACTTATCACAATTCAAATAGTCCGGCCACTGGAACCCAAATCGGTTCATCAGTATCTCGCAACCATCCTTGGCCTTCTCACAAAAATCGTAACACGGTGGTAACGTTGACTGGTTCTCTACACACCTGGGCACGAATACAGCACAAAGGAATGTCTTCAAATACGGCGAGCATACTACTTTAACAAGGGGATAGAATTGGTGGACCTGTAGACCTGCTGCTTCCTGGCTCTGTTGGTCGAGAATATTTGGAAATCTAGTCGAGTTGTACTTCAAATCCACACACAAGGGCACATTGATACCGCTGCAGGTGCCGACGGCGAGGTCTCCGGACTCTGCTGGTACATCGCCTCGAACCGTGCCTCCAATAACTACAAGCAGTATCGTAGCGTAAAGGGAATTGCGTGAAACCATACTTAAGCAACTGGTTAACATTGGGTCGCTGCGACAGTGTTTGTTTGTTGTTTACGAAGTGTTATTGAACAGAGTCTGCGTACAAAACTGAGTGACCTCACGACCATAACCGTTCTTATCTGATTGATGCCCGTGTTTTCAAGGATGTAATCTATACCACGATTGTATTATTATTATTAACTTTCAAGAAAAACGGCACGTCAGCGTCCATTTCATCGCCGAGGCAATGTTTTTTTGTGTGTTTTTTGTGTGTTTTTTGTATTGGTTTCATACGAACGAGGTTGTTGATAAAATTACAACAAGCCAAGCTTCTCAAGAGACAATAGGTAAATTACAGGATCTATTTTCTACCCAACATAAACATGTCATCTTGTCTAGATCAAAAAGCATGCTTTTATTTGCTAAAATATTGAATTGTTAGAACAATACAGTAATTTGTGTGGAAATCAATTTTCTTATCAACTTAAATCTTGGCACGATAATCACCACGGAATGCCTATGTAGCTCAGGTCTGTGTTCTATGGAAGCAAGACTGACTGATCCGTTATACCCTTTGATGCCTATGAATGTAAATAAATTAAGAGTTTCTGTAAACATAGGCCATGTCAAGTGATTAACAACACTCATTAGAATAGCCACACTTCCAATAAACACTTGCCCCGGGCCTAACTACAGTATGAACAAACGTCAATTTACGTAGTCGTATTAAATACGCAAATCTGGTTTGTGAGCTTTGTTGCACAGTCTAAAAAGTCTTTTCACAGCGATGAGTGTGAGATGAGTCAATTTGACTACCGAGAAAATAAAATCATCGCTTACGACAGTGGCGGTTCCAGCAAAATGTATGGGGGGGGGGGACAAGCTTCGCTTAAGGTATACTAGTACCATGGAGGTAATATTACCTCCATGGATATACGGAGCGTAAGTCGCAGAGAAGCTATGCGTAATCCAGATGATATGAATCGTCATGCGGTTTTTTTTTTTTTTGGGGGGGGGGCATGCCCCTCCCTCTGGATCCGCCACTGGCTTACGAGTTACTGAAATACAACACAAGGAAAATGGAAGTTGGGAAAAAGTTTCCTAAGTCCCCTCATGTAGTTGTATATGTCACTCCAAATAAATATACACACCCTGAAGAGGAGTATATACAATAGCAGCGTTCAAGCACAGCTCTTTAGCACGGGCTAAGAGGTGAAATACCATAGGCCGTGCTAAAAAACGAGTGAACGTTCAGCGGTACTTGGTCCAGATCCCTAGCACGGGCTAAAGAAGTGTGTGTGAACGCTTAGCGAAGTGCCTCAAACGCCATTGTATTCAATGTTCGATTGGAAGATTTATCATTATATTCATATCTATTAATTTCGGTATGCTATTTCCAATATGACAATACACACGAGCACATCTATAGAGCTGTTTTTCTCAAGAAAAAAATAACTGACGATGTGACTGCACAGATCTAAAATGGGAAGCGTGTGGGTGGGCATTGCACAGGCACTTTAAGGTTATTCTATAATCTGCGCATACTGCATTAGCTTTGGTATTGTCTTACTACTGTAGAACTAACAACTAACCTTCCTAGTTACTGTACTGAGTAATTCTAGTTAAAATAACTTAAGAGTTTTGTATATTCTTAACAAGTTTGCGCATTCCTTAGCCCGAGCTAACCACTGTTTCGCCCGTGCGTGAACGCATTTGGGTCTATCCGATATGCAAACGTATGGAATTCGTACTTCAGTAGCGTGAACGCTACTAATTAAAATGAGGGAGGAGCACTGGAGGGGCAGGTTGGACTCGAACAACGTGTATATTTGTAAAAATACGAAGTTAAACATCTTAACTTGCCACCAGCCACCATGATGATTGGTATTTATCCATATAAAGTACAATCATATTGTTTTAATTAAACCAGGTTTGTATTTGTGACTTTGAAAACAGATGTATAATAGCATTGTTGAGTGTTTTGATGAATTGTTTGGTATACAAGTACCTTGGGCGGTTCTCTCTCCGATTTTGTGTCAAAATTGTATTTTTGTGAGTATTTTAGGCCATTTTTTGTCAAAACTGCCATTTTGACGACTCAATTGATATGATACTTTGTATATATCTTGGTACCGGTATCTTGGGTTAACCTCTGTCAGATATATGTTCGTTTTGGGATATTATCAACTATTCTCATATTTTTAGCAAATATAATTCATGTTTAGTTAAAAATAATATTAAAAACTGTCACCGATTGCTTTGATACTTATGTAGGTACCATGGGTGAACTTCTGTCACTTTTGTGTCCTCCTCAATTCTTTATTATTAGCGAATATATTTGTCATATTTTGTAAAAAAATATATTACTGTCTTTTCGAAAACTACTTATATATATATATATAAAATTACGCTGTACTTGCAGCGGGCTATCTATAAAACGTGTGTGTGTGACCGAAACTACATTCGAAATATACGTACCAACTTTATTTAAAGGGCGGCAGTCGTCGTGCCGCGTCCTGTTCAATATGGGACTCATAACGACGTATACAACGTCTGTAAAATAAATTGTTTATTTACATGAAATTCGAACACGCGCTGCGCGACGACCACCGCGCTTTAACATGTGCAATGACCTCACCCGGAATGTTTAGCGTACGAAAGATTCTTTGCACGACACCGGTTTTAATGGTTTAGTACAACGAAAACCCCCAAATGCACAGAGGCTATAAGTATTTCGAAGCTCACCACAGGTAGTGACATCAGAGTCTCCGGGCTGTACTGTCACATCTTATGCGTAGAACTATCAGCAGTAACGTGGTAGCGTAAAATACTGCATGCAATAATACTCAAACAACTGTTCTACGTCGTGTCGTTGTGACCGTACCTGTTTGTTATTTATTAGTGAATTGTTGTGGAATTTTAGTCTGTGTACTAAGAGCTAAAACTAAGTGATGTCAAAGCATGGCAATTCGGCGCTAGTTGTAAATTCGAAATTTATAGTTATTGTATAAATACCAGTTCAGCATTCAGAAAACATTTCCCAGGACATTTTGCGACATTTAGTCATTGGCGTAACATTCTGTTTAACACGGCCCTGAATATGAATAACACACTATTCATTGGAGGACATACCAACGAAGTTTTATTACTGTACATCCATTCGGCTCACATCCGTTTTTACCACGTACAATCAAAACAATGTGAATAGCAACCTTTATAAATCTTTCCAAATAGTGGTGCCTTTGTCGCTTCTGTGACGTTATAAAAAGCCAACTCAGTTTGGTTGTGTGGTCGTTAGAACATTTTTTTAAAAAAAGCATTTTTTTTATTATTGACTGGCGACTACATTTTATAGCTAAATTTTGAATGACGACCCAAACATCAAGTTACGTCACGGATACGCTTCATGTATTATACACATCTTAGTATTATTATCAATAACGATTGCTTTGGAAATTGTGATTGAGTGGCCTTGTTCTGGCTAACGAAAATATGATGCAAGTGCAAGTTGATACCCATAGATTTAGTTATTCCCGAAAAAAGACACTGCCGTAAAAACGTTAATGTTGACAACCATTGTTTGCTAACATTCCACATTCGATGGAATTACGCAAATTCCCCCAAAGAAGGAATCAACATTTTATTTCCGCCAAAATCAGATCAGGCAGACCAACCACTACATATCTTAATTAGTAGTATATAGCATACATGGAATTTGCCTAATCATTTGACCACGTATATTTTGAGGTAGCTCTGTGAATGTGGAGGCGCTCCTATTCATCGGGACCTTATCTGCTACCCAATACACAATGTGTTGGGGTGGCGTAAGAAGCCCAATGTAAATATCACCCCTACACAGCCATGTGCGCAGGGCTAATTTTGAGGTAGTGTACATCGGCAATCAGGATTAAGAACGACCAGATCCTACATCCGATGTTTACTACAAACTAAGGGGGGGGGGGGTGGTTCACTTCCCTTTCAGTTTGGTAGGGGTATGCGGTCGGGAAGTAAAACCCCAAACCCCATCACAGACCATTTTCACCTCAAAAACATACCCCATTATAGACCAAATAGTGATTTGTATATCCCACCAGAGACCACATTTGTCACTAAATTCATTCAGTTATAGGTTGACTCACTCGGACTCATCAACAAAAGTACTAAAACAGATGCAAATTAAAAAACACACAAAAAAACAGACCCCATCCCCATCAGGCAAACCTGATATTGGACCTAAAGGCAAGCAAATCTATACCCCATTCAAGACCAAACAGCAAAAATTACGAACCCAAAGGGCGACACGTTCCCATAATGTGATTTGCATTTAGTTCCCTGGACCTGTAGTGTGGTCATTGTACCCCATAAAGTTTTAGGTGTATAATACTTAATGCAGTATTGGCTTAGCACCATATGGATACATTGAGTACGAATTGAAAACATAACATTTATACGGAAAACAATATTTTTAATAAAATATCATTAAACACACATTATGTTTTACAAAACATCAATTTACAAATCTTAAAATAAAATTACACAATTTTTTCATTACTTGCTACAAAAATGTTTTTTTTTTGCTTTTTTGTATGCATCAAATAGCAAAAATATTTCTTGAAAATGTATTATATACATATGGGTTATTAAGTTCAACTGTACATTATATAAGGAAATTAACTTGTGGAATGAAATTATGTTGATATGGACGTAATGTGTTTTATTCTTTAATATTAAGTTAACTATCAGTTAACCAAATGACTGGACGGAAAAATCTATTATACAATTTTACATTTCATATTTATTTTCAAAACTTTCCTTTCTAATTTGGAGATTTTCAAATATTATATGGAGCTCTATTTGTTAGATTTGGCATGGCATGATTCAAAACGTGTTTTAAAGTTACCTGGACAATCTGGGCATAATGGATCAGTGGATTGCTTAAATTCTGCTTCCTGTATCTCCAATATTCGAGAAGTATTCTCTATCACGCTTGTATAATAAATAGCGTGCTATCAGAAGGAAATGCATCTGAATAAATTAGTCTTGGGAGGTTCTGTGATTATCACACGTATCCTCATTTCAGTTCTAGTCGTCTAAGAACCATCGCCACATTTGGATATTTTGTATGAAGCATCCCTGTTTACAATACAATAATTACTGATTCTCTATTTTGTTGACTGCTATTGCGAATTTGCAAGTTAATCATTGGTTGTATACAGGCATGCTTTCATTGAACCACAGAGAAGATCACAAAAAATGATTCATGAAATCATAACTACGTAAGTGAAAAAATCCACCAGGTTATTTGGGTACATTAGAAGAGAGAAGGACTTTGAAGTCAAGTTATATTGGCACAATTCAAAATCAAACGGAAATCTATTGTTCAATTCATTCTGTACTGTTCTACAAATGGAAGGATGTTACAAATGCAGTTCATTAAAGTTTTTCTGTAAATTATATCACAACATTTGTATGTTTTTCCAACATGGAATTAAATCTCCTATTGAACCATAATAAGGAAGGATACAAAACTGCTATTAATATGCTGGGTCTTCTTTACTTTTTGGCTGATCATCAAAATCAAATTCATCATCGTCAGTAGATGTAACCTTCTTGTTATGGACTTCAGATGCTGTACTAAAATCCTCATCGTCTGTTCTGTTCAAATCGCCATTGGCTGATTTGTTATCATCAGAAGAATCCATTGTTTTTTTGTCTTCTTTGATACTATCAGGAGAATGGGATCTATCAGACTCTGTATCATCAGAATCTTTTGAAAAACTTCTGTTAGAGGCTGAAGACTTTCTACTTATTGATGACTGTTTACTTGAGGCTGAAGACTTTCTACTAGCTACTGATTTTCTACTTCCTGCAGATGACTTTCTTCCACCTCCAACTGACTCAGAATCAACACCTTTGTCCTTGAAAGATTTCTGCGATATTTTATCTTCACGATCCTCAATTTTGACCGATTTCTGTGATTTTTTATCTTCATCCTTCATGGAAATGACGGATTTCCAGTCTTCATCCTTACTTTTCAAAGATCTCTGTGACTTTTTATCTTCATCATCCTTTGATTTCACTGACTTTGTATCTTGGTTCTTCAAATATGGAGATCTTGGTGACCTTTTATGCCCATGCTTAAGGGACTTTACAGATTTCTTATCTGAATTATCAGTGAAGAACGATTCTCGAGATTTATCACTTCGTTTAGATATTCTACTGTGTGCAGATAATCGATCCTCCCTGTGTGACTTGAAACTTTGATGCCACTGCTGGTTCGAGAATAGTCAGACCGGTCAGACCTTGCACTAAGCAGTGATTTACTATCTTCTTCAGCTTTCTTCTGAGAACCCTTTGATTTGTCAGATCGGTAACTGTGTAATGAGTGTTCATCTTCTTTACCACTTTCTGACATAGTTCCATAGTCACCTTCTTCATTTATAGTCTCTTTGCTTCGCATCTTACTATTATTATCATTATAACTTAATGATGATCTGTCAGAAATATCATCCATTTGTCTCCCTTCTCCTGCATCATCTTGATGCTCAAGCATGTCTTGCCTGCGTTTTTGCCTATCTTCAAGTCGCTTCTCACGTAGAGTAGGAGCTCGGTAATCAAACATAGAGTAACTATATCTCTCTTTCTCCAGATTCTCTGACCTCACGGACCAAGTTGAGTCGTACTTTGCCTTTTCTGATGCCTTCTGGTGTGCCTGGTCGGATAAATGCGATCTCAGTGAGCGTGCTGATCTTCTAGATGCCCTGGATTGTTCTGAGGCATTGTCAGTTCCTGATTTCTTAGATCCAAGAGACGATGCAACTCGTTCACTCACATCATCTTCCACCATGGCCATTTCCCGTTTTATCGCTGTGAAGCCTTTGGATTTCTTGATGCTTTCTTCAGGTGCACCTATAAAAACCAAGAATCGAACATTACATTCTGAATTGTTTCCAATTCTACTGAAATTGCTAGTACACGTTACAATAGTATGGTTGATCTTTAAAAATGGATCACAGTCGCCAAGATTTGTATGAATGGGCATAATGTTTAGGCATTTTTGGACATTAACTTTATATATACATGTGGCAAAAACAAATGACACCTGCAAGATACAGAATTTCCAATTTATGGTTTTGACTAAGCATTTGATAACCAGCGAATTAATATACACACATTGGTTGTAAATGACACACTTATGGTATGCTTTCATTTGTGCATACTTTCAGACATTTTCACAATGGCTTCTAATAATTGCTAGACATAGAAAATACAAGCACATTACAAAAATACTGACATGCAACACACAATTTGAACTCACAAACATCACAAAGTGAATTACCACTGCAAAACAGACACAGAAAGCGGCCTCACCAAACCACAGTAACCGATCAGAAATACGATAGGCATTTAAATAGATAAATGCATTACTAGAAACATTTCTCTGATAGACTTAACTACTGATACTTACCGGGATCTAGGAGTATAGCTGTGCCAGCCAGCGTCCACTGCTCAACAGGATATGGACATTTCAGATGTAATGTAAATGCTGTAACTTGTCTAGCTTTATTTATGTACACTGGGCATTCATAGAGAGATGCACCCTCCTCAGACTGCTGTGACTCTGCCATGCTGCTTTTCAGAACTGGTCGTACGTACACACTTGGCATCAAGTTCATCTCAATTCTGGAAAACAAGTAACACTGAAAATTAGTAACTGTAATGTGCTTCTCAACACCCAGAAGTAAATCTGCACCTGGTAGGGAAGTGATTGTTGTGTCTGTCTGTGTGTGTTCAGTCCTGATGCTTCTTCAGCTGCTACCCACTTCCCACAAGATGAGATGGTTTCAAAGATTAATAAATATATATAGCCCTAAAAAGCCTCAAAAGTTGACTTTGGCATTCAAAAAGTTGATATGCAAATTACATAATATGCACAGATGTTACATAAAACTATTGTGAAAAATATCAAAAGTTAACTTTGGCATTTAAAGAGTTGATATGCAAATTACATAATATGCACAGATGTTACATAAAACTATTGTGAAAGGTATCAAAAGTTAACTTTGGCATTCAAAAAGTTGATATGCAAATTACATAATATGCACAGATGTTACATAAAACTATTGTGAAAGGTATCAAAAGTTGACTTTGGCATTCGAAGAGTTGATATGCAAATTACATAATTAATATACACAGATGTTACATAAAACTATTCTGTGAAATGTGATAAAAGTTGACTTTGTCATTCACAAAGTTGATATGCAAATTACATAATTAATATGCACAGATGTTACATAAAACTATTGTGAAAGGTATCAAAAGTTGATTGGCATTTAAAGAGTTGATATGCAAATTGCATAATTAATATGCACAGATGTTACATAAAACTATTGTGAAAGGTATCAAAAGTTGACTTTGGCATTCAAAGAGTTGATATGCAAATTACATAATTAATATGCACAGATGTTACATAAAACTATTCAGTGAGATGTGAAAAAAGTTGATGGTCATTCAAAGAGCTAATAAACGCCTTATAATAGATAAAATAAAGTAATGTGACTTACTCTGGAGGTGCAAGGCACTTGTTCTCCATATCCCATAATGCACCTTGTAGATAGAGTTCTTGGAGGTACATACCACCTTCATGTTTGATTTCAAAAGTGTTTTTATCCATGGACATGGATACATCACATTCCAAGATAACCTACGCAAAAGAATAACAAATTTAACATTAATATTTAATTTTAAAGATGATGAACAAAACACAATCAAGGTTTGCAGCATGTCAGGTAAAATAACATTTCTTGACAATTTTTCAATTTATAATAATGTCTATTAATATACATCTGTCACCATAACACAATAGGTTACAGCAGACCGTAATTTTGCGGTATTTTACAGGGTATTTACATCTTACCATATGAGGAAATGTGAATTCCAAATATGGAATGATTACGCGCGTAAGCATCCTCTAATAATAACAAGCAGCCTGTCGGCTGAGATAGTTCTGCTGTTAGCATTGCACATTTCAATTAAAGAACAGAAGATATCATTAGAAAATGAACAATATGCATAGTATCAATGCAATGGGACTTGCTGTTTTCAACAAGAATTCAAAAATATCATTTTTCACCATAAATGATTGTGGTTTTTAACAAGAAGAAAATATCACTTTTTACCAAAAATGACAAAAATATTCACCAAAATTAGAGAATTGAAGATATGATCATGAAATGAACAAAGTACCAAGTATCAAAACATTCAGGCTTGTAGTTTTCAAGAAGAAGTCGAAAAAGTAAAACATTGACACAGACGACGGACGTTGGACACTGACGAACAATCACTCATATGATAAGCTCCGATAAGTCGACAGCAGAGCTAAAAACAAATGTGGCTGCCACCAGGGTTTGACCTGACTCCATACAAAGAAGTTTGCTGATTCTGTTCTAAACGTTTTGGATTTTGGCATTTCCATGATGTATCCTTGAAAGGAAAAGATGTATAATAATAAGGTTATTACGAGTATACTAGTATCTCAAAGTATGCACTCAGACAGTATGCCATCGCATCAACCTCTACTGTGCACCGCTGTATTGTCTTTGTGCATACTTTGAGGTATCTTCGTAATAACCTCATATTATTGTACTGTAGAGCACATGAGGACTATAGTAATTTATCAACTTTTTCCATGACTGTGGACATTCCAGGCTATGAAGTCTAAGCACATATGCCAGCTCTAAAAACCACACTTGATAGCTGAGCCACCAATCTTCTTACCTCAGACAGTAAACACTCGGAGAGCACAGCCATTTCTTGTCTTAGAGCTGTAACTAGAGCTGATGGATTGCATAAACCACCCAACCATACTGAGGTCAATTCACCATGAGCACCCTGAGATTCTGTACGTTTCTGAGATGGTACTTTTCCTTCTTTTATCCACTGTTTCAACTGACTGTAACGTTTGTTGAGATCTGGAACAGAAATGTATAAACGTACTGTTAAGAAAACTCCACTAACATCAGATTTATAGTTGATCCAGTGCATCACATCATAATGGCAAGCACAAGCCAATCATGAAATCACTAATCCATAAAAGAGCTAAAAACATTCAAATATTTGCATACATCGTAATTTGTTTATATATACATATTACGTGAGAATGTGTCATCAATTATTAAAGATGTAATATGAGCAAGAACAAATACATTGGACTATGATTTTTTATGACATGAAAACACTGTTCTTGCAGCACACACAAGTTTTTGTTTGATGAAACAATGAAAGTTCACAATATGCATTTGCAATAGTTGTTTTAGTGCGTTTTCATTTATCTATTGAATACTGTTGTGTGCCCTGCAAAGGCAACAATATTTTTAGTTTATAATACAGTTCTACATATGAAATATTGAACAACATTAACGACAAAACTGTTTTTGAGCATCTTTACAACATTACATTACAATGCAAATAGAACCATATCTATACATACTCTACTCTATCTATACGTACTATGCACTGTATCACTTGACATGCTTACCGTTAAGCCAAGTGAGCAGCGTATGGGTAGATGGCTGACAATTGGGATGTGTCCACGATATAGGAACGAACTCCTCTTGAAGTGACTTTGTTGTCTCTAGTAATTCTTCTGGTATGGCATGTTCACCACCAAGCAAATGCTTATCTAACTCGTACAAAGACTGTCGGATGTGACACAGCAGGGCATTCAACCAGTAACATTCCTGTACGAAGAAAGTAATATGTTAGTCACTATGTGATCAGTATATGGGAATATGTCGTGTATGGTATATCAGCAATGGCTTTAACTATCAATGTGTCATTGATGCCAATTTGTAAAAGGCCTTCGTCAAACACTGAAAGCATAGCATATATGCAGTATACCTTGCTCGTGAAAAAAAGATGGCTGCAGGGTTGCGTCTAGGTCTCCCGAGGGCGCTGTCTGTTTTGTCGAGTGAGCCTCAGGGATTACGTTACAAGATGACAACTTACGGGTGACTGACCCTGGGCAAAATATCAAATATGTCACCATCTTGAAAAGCTAAGCTCTCTCTAACAGCCTCTCACTGATAAATTTATGTTTAATTTCCTATAATAGTGTGTGCCATGTCTCTACAATCATCTACAATCACATGACTGATTTTAATGAAATGGTGAAACGGTCAACCCTTAGTTTTCAGCTCACATTCTAAGTAACAGTAGCTTTGTGTTGTGTCATTTTGTCTATCAAATTTTGGTTTTGTCACTCTCATTTAGTTATATTTAATCAAAGAAAATCAAAGCTATTGTCACTAAAGTACTATCATACACTTTCAATATATACAATATACAGACACAGACAGACACACTAACTGCAAGGACTTCAATTTTGTGCTTCACACACGAGAGTCAAAAACCAGTCAACCTCACATCTAACAAATGATCACCTGGGCATTTTCCAATGTATCTAAATTTCTGTATGCTTTAGTCCGTTAGCCCTAGACTTCATAAACCAATAGACCTTAGATTGAAATGGTCACCAAAATCTGGCTGAGACCAAAAAAAACACACGAATCGTTTCAAATAGTGTCTCATGTCATCACATCTACTGTTCTCCTGACTTACGTAACCATGATATTTGGAGCAGTGGACTGAAAGGAATTATTTGAGAGAAAAAACAAGTTCTGTGACTATCTTGATCTCAGCGGGTAATTGCACTGCATCAAGGGTTTATTGATTGAATAGGGAAGATGTATAATAATAACTCAAGAGATTATGTGGTTGCATCAACCTCCACTATAAGTTGTACTGTTTTACATGCATTATTCTCACAATCACCTTATACTATGCACACAATGCCATAAAGGTTAAAGAGCGGATCTCATATATAAGTACAAACTGAGAGGTTACCAAACTTTAATTAGGCACTTTTTTTTGTGTTTGGAAGGTATCAAAGGAGTTGCTGGCAGTAATTAGTGTAAGTGGCACCCAGGGCAATACTCGAAGACGTGATTTCATTAGAATCAAGGTTTATCAACACAAATGTTGCACATGCGTGGTGCGACAACAGCCCCCCTTTAACAGTACTGCACTCTGCAAAGGGTATATAGGCATCCTACCACAGAGGGTGCTATTTTGAATGCTTTGTGAGCAAATGTTTACTGAGAACTGACCAGAAATTTCAATAGAAGTGGCTTTACTTCCCCAGAATGATAAAAAAATGTGTATAACATATTTTATAACAAGGTACTTTGAGAATACTCTCAATGTACGAACTGTGCACATGCTTTGTGACACTTTTGCAATAACTGAGAACCATATATGCCATTGTTTGTGTGTTGCATACATTACCTGTAACAGGACATATCCCAACATCTCTGGCATCTCATCTGGTACAGCTGAAGCCAGACTCACAATGGATGGTACATGGTACGGAAAAGAGTAGCTTTCATTTATAATGTGTTCTGGTATCTCTCCCAACTCTAACATTGACGGTAGCTGCTCTACAACCATGTCCATTGCATGCTGTAGTCTGTATGTATCCACTTCTTTCTTGATATGTAGACGTACACGACTGTCGTGCGGACCAGAGTGTTGTAGTTCGTACAGTTTGTCCATGTACTTCAGGAAATCAGTTCCACTAGAAAGGTAGCAAATAACATGATACATTGTTAAATACATCTAAAAAACATATATGTATGACATTCGAATATAGTGTTGCAGTCATCATCCTATCAACTTAAGGTAGAGACGCAGTTTATTTTGCAAATTTTGACAAATTTCACTTTTTTTTATTTTTTTTTGGCATTGTATGAACATCTGTATTCTGTGAAAATTCAAAATTAAAATCCTTAGTGGAACTCTGTTAAATCCAATGGCGATGTAAATCAGCATATATTTTTACTTAACTATAAAATATGCAAATTAGCAATTATCTCAGCTTCTTTTTAGTGCACATCTCAGAACTTTAAAAAAAAAATTTTTAAAATGCATACAATAAGCTTTCCGAAAATATATAGTTTTGTGGACAAGGGTTGCCTAATTAACTAATTAAAATACCTGTCAAATAAATTGCATCTCTACCTTAAATACATTGTATAAGTCATATGCGAGCCATATCAAACATTAAAAGAAATTTTTCACTCACGCAACATGGTTGTACTGTTTCTGCACGCTGCTATCAAGTCTCAATGCTCCAACGAGTTCTCCTCATCTATCCATTTCTCAGAAAGCCAATGTGCGTAGTCGCCTGCATCGACATTTGCTGGAGGAGTTGCTATGGAAACATTACCAAGCATCAGATTTCCTGATTGGCTGGTGGTTGCCATTATGACATGGTGGACAATGGTTTCTAGGTAGAGTTGATCCCAGTCATTCTGTAGTACATTTCCATACACCAACTATCAAAGGAAATAATTTGTTGTATTATTTTCCAATTAGAAGTATCGATAGTTGATTTTTTTAATATGCTTTTACAGGGATATGTGAGTATCCATGACATGTTATCATACACAAGGCCAAAATAGTATACACATGTAGTATAAATAACTATTATCATGCGATCTCTATTGCTGACTAATTTGCATTTTAACTAAACCTCGCTTTTGAATCCCCTGCAATGATACGATACATACAATTCACTGTCGATAGGTTTCACCAAATGTGAAAGCAAATAGTCAGCAATGTCTGCCACGTGATAAACAAATTATATAGTTTAACTGTTTGTAAAACTATGTATAAAAGTGTTTGAAAACTTTGTGTATACATTTGATATGTGTATTATTGACATCCTTTTTATTTGTTGGTAAAAATTGACAAAACTTTTGATCAAAAAAACTCAAAAGCAATATCTCAACTTGTCTGTATGATCCACAATGATGATGAAATTTAGTGAAAATTTCACAAAATGTGAAAATATTTGCACTAAATTTTGGGATTGAAAAATATCTGGCACACATAGGGTTAAGGTGTTGCATCTTTGTGCATACATTTCAAACCAAATGTTTGCTAGCATTTCTAGACATTATGCTTTTATTTGATTTTTTTCTAATACTTTGGTGGTACAATCTTAACCTTTTTACCACCAGAATTTCTCATCCAAATATTTCTGCATTTTTTTAATATATTTTTCAATATTTCCGAAAATTTCAGTTCAGTCTCATATTGTCAAAAATATTAAAATTACAGTATACATCAACTCTTCATAATTTTGATAAAAAAAAAGAGATTTCCACTCCAATAACTTGTACTCACCTCAGCCAAGCTGTATATTATGTCTGGTATTGTCGGTTCTGGTTTGCCCTCCCCTCCGATGACATTCTCAATAGCTTGTTGAATCTGCACTTTAGAAAACATATACCACTGGCTGAGACCACGTGTCCCAAATGACTGTCTGGCTACCAGTATACCATGTATGACACATATACCAAATACAATGCCCTTGATAGTTGTGGATTGGTCACGAACTTGGTTCCAAGTTGATTCCGAAACAGACTCCAATGCTGATATGATCGCTATGGAAATACATTTAACATACATATTAATTTTTTGTCAGTAATAGATTCCAACTACCAGTATCTCATAAAGTCTTTCAAAAGTATTTCGCATGAACAGGAGATCTTATGACAAATAAACTGGTGTAATCAGTCACTGTTCAGCACATCTAATGAGAACAAAGAAATGTGAAGATCACAGATG